GTAGCTTAGCAAAATCGCACTAAAGCATTTGACAGATTTTCGAGCGCCGTGTACATAAAATTGTTTCGAGGTCAGTAAGCGCAACCAGAATTCATACATAAGGCACACAGGAGTATAAGGGGCACTGTCGAGTTTCAGAAAAATCAAAGGATTGATTTTAGGTGTGCCGTATTTTCCAAACAACACGGTAATAACGACGGTCCGCCAGCATGCGCTACCAAAAATAGTGCTTTGTTGTGTATCTGACGGACGAAAGCTAAACCAGTTCCACACCACTGAAGCTGCAGCATTTTTACAAACCAATTCTGGTTCATCTGTTTCATATAACGATCCACTTTCGCTCTTCTTATTCTGCGTCGCCGCCATGTGCGTATGTAAACAAAGGCACTGCGCATGCGCGTCTTACCCATATTCTATCGCGATATGTCATTTTCCTATCGTTGCCCAAAATTACACCGGTATTACCATGAACTTTATGATATAGCCCAGCCCTAATGCAGACCGCTTCTACAAACATGATTAAAGTACATGCTCTGTGAATTCCAGCGTGGTATTCACTACTAAATATAACACAATCAGCTGTTAGCAGTATTATAACAAAGTGGAAGCGATTGAGAACAAAAGCACATCAGCCACAAAGTGGTAGGTCACTTAAAATCACAGAGCAGGGTCGGCGGATGCTGAGGTGCATAGTGTGCAGAGGGCACCAACTTTCTGCAGAGTTAATCAGTACAGACTGCAAACTTCATGTGGCCTTCAGATTAGCTCAACATCACTGTGAAGAGAGCTTCATGGAATTGCTTCCAGTGACTGAGCAGCTGCATCCAAGCTTTACATCACCAAGCACAATGCAAAGCATCAGATGCAGTGCTGTAACACATGCTGCCACTGGAGACGAGCAGTGGAGACGTGTTCTCGGGAGTTAGACTCATTTGGCGATTGATGAGCCTTTTGATTGATGAGCCAATTGAGGTTCTGTACTTGTCAGGAGAACAGGACTTGTCTAACTACACTGTGCAAAATGTAAAGTTAGTTAAGTGTTGATTATTCAAATATGTTGAAACACATCAGCCAGCAGCAGCATTATGGAGACATGCGAAGAGTTGTCGAATAGACAGTTAAACTTGTCAGGTAGTGATGTCCAGCAGGTGAAAATGCAAGCTCCATGAACATGAACAGCTATGGATTCCAGCTGTGTTCGTAGTTCTGCAAACTTTGACCCCCACAGAGTCGAGGTTTTTATTTCAATCAGCTGCATTTCGATTTGCATTAACTGGCATTAACTCAGCCAGTTAATGCGAGACAAATCCAGCTGCTTATTAAAGCTTTCTGGTTTGATCAGAAAAGAAAACATTGGTCCATACACCTGAAAGTCCCAAACGCATTGTGAATTCTGTCTCGAGCCTACAGATGTATCCGTGTATTTCCGTGGCGCTGATGCTGCGCTGAGCAGACAGCTCCTGAAGCTTTTGAAGTGTCGGAATGTGGAAATTTCAACATCGCTTGAAAAAACTGCCAGCTAGCAACGTCCCTCTCACCGGTAGGCTAAGTTATTTTTTGCCAATTACAAGTTGAATCTGGTATTTGGGGTTGTTAGCTAAGATGCCGTCATTAAGAAGCGGCA